TCAAGAGAGCGACGCGGAAAATCTCGATCATCAGGGATTAGTAAAAAATGTTAGAGCTGAGAGGATTCGATCAAATCGGGGTTCTGAGCTAACGGTGGGTAATCCAAGCAAAATCAGGCCAGACATCATATAATCATCCGTTCCTGTCCGTTCCATCATTTTCAATCATTCTCCCATTTTCTTAACTCTATTGTCTGAATTAGTGTAACAATCGTAAGTTCACAAAAATTAAACTTCGAGGGGTTCTTAATTAAATAATTGAATTTTTTTTGTTTCTCTTTTCCTCTATCATGTTTAGTCTTTTTCTTCGTTTTTGATTTCATTGTCGGAACATAAAATAACGACAGATTCTCTACTATAAATAAATGTCGCAAAAAAATAAAAAAAATAAAGAATGATTTGTTTGTCTTTTCTCTCCCATTGTTCTTAATCGTCTTTCCCTTTTTTTTAATTTCGGTACCAAAATTGACAAAAATTTGAGGCGTCACTTCGGCCTCGATCGTGTGCTGCAAAAAGCGTTGCGGCGGGGTTAGTCCCCACGATGCCTCCTTGCGGCCGACCATTCCAAGTCTAGCCTCGGATCGGGCTGAAATGACAGTCCCTAGATGTGGCGGAAGCGGCTACCCATTCTGCCATCTTTGAGGGTTACTCGTAAGGTTCAGTGCGCCCAAAATCAGGGGTGCCCAAAGTTCCCCTAATTTTTGCTACCTGGTCAAACCAGAGTATCGTCAAAACACGGACTTATTCTTGAGCCTAAGTCCCAAAGTCGCAGATTTCAGGCGGTGCACTGCTTGTGGCCGCCTGACAGTTAGCCCGGACCACTTCTCGATGCCCCCGTCGAGCCCTATCCACTTTCGTCAAACGAAGCGGACGAGATTCGGGGTGATTGCCCGTAAAGGTCGCCCACGTCGACGTTTAATTGTCTCATGTCTCAGTTTGTCACGAGTTTTGGGGCTAAAAAGATGTTTCTTGACTTTCATTTTCCTTCAGGATCTTGGTCTTGGTAGGATCCTCTTTTTCTTCTGACGTTGGTCCGAGAGAGGTGCCGACCCGCCAGTTTGTCTAATGTGAACTCTCCGTCTGACCCTCTTGAGCACGAATAACATTTTCTTCACTCTTCCTAATGCCAACCCTTTGACCTTTCTTTTCTCCATTCTTTTCCTCTTCTCGGAACTTTTCCCTGCCTCGAATCGTCTCGAGGGGGCTCCTTCCTCCATATTGGTCTTCCCTTTCCCTTTCGGGTCTGTCAGCGATAAGGTGGGTACAGGCCTGGGTCTAAACAGCTTTAACCTAGCACCCGCCACTGTGTCCTTCCACTTGGATCCGTCTAACTCTGCTATCATATAGGCACCCCAGTCGAGCGCCTCAACCACTCTGTAAGGTCCCATCCATCTGTTGGCGAGTTTTCCGGTCCAGGTCCTTTCCAGTGCTGCGTCGTAGAGAAGGAACATATCTCCTACGCTCACCCTCTCTTTCCTAATTCGCGCGCCCTTATCCCATCTCTCTTTTCCTTTGTCCCTCTCCACTGTCAGACGATCTGCTGTTGTCATAAGATTATCTTCCAAACCGTAGGCTATCTGTCTTGTTCGGGCAGCTATGAGTTCCTCTCTGGACATCCTTTCCGCCCAGTCGACGGTGGTTCAGTTGTCGACGTGAAACTCTATGGGAAGAGGACAATGCCGTCTGAACCACAAGGTGTATGGTGGGTATCCAGTGCTAGCCCGGACCGTGATGTTGTCCGCCCATATTGCGTATCGAAAAAATCGTGGCCAATCGTTGTCCTTACCTTTGCACCACTTGGATAATGACGCTATCAGAGTCTGGTGTCCCCTCTCTACTGGAGAGTTCGACTGTCGGTGGTAGGCAGTGGCTATGGAAACTCTCGCCCCGGCTCTCTTGAACACACTCTGAACCTCGTCGGCTAGGAATTCCGCCCCTCTATCCATCACTATCTTGCTGACACATCCATACCTAGACAAGTACTCTAGGACGAAGTTCTTCACTTCCCTTGCCGACTTACTCCTGATAGGTCTACCCTCCACGAACCCAGTGAAGTCGTCTCGTATGTTCACAACATAGTTCATATTGCCCACTCCTTTCGGCATCTTCACCAGATCGATGTGTACCTTCTCTCCTAGCCTGGTCGGGTAGGATGGATGAAGTGGCTTCTTGTATTTCACAAAAACGGTCTTCTGGCATTCCTCGCAGGTTATATAGTATCTCTCAACGTCCTTATACTGTCCCTCCCACCAGTACAGTCTGCGTACCTTTTCGTAGGTTCCTTTGACTCCTCTATGTCCTCCGACTACCCCATCGTGCAGCTCCGCAACTATCGTCTGTCTCTCTTCAGGATCACATACTACTCGTAAGGGCATCCCCGACCCGAATGGTCTTCAGAATAAATGGTCCGCTCTAAGGCAGTACTGGGTCGCTTGTCTTCGGATATCTGAATCTTGACTCTCTTCTCCTGACAAATGTAGACCGATCATTCGGTATTTGCCCTCGTAAAGGTTAACCAAGAATCGATCGGCGTGTCTCGGTCCCGCCATAGTCAGGGCTGTAGCCACTATCGGACGCTCAGCCTCCAGAGGGATCCGAGAAAAGCCGTCCGCCACGACATTCTTAGTACCCGATATTCTCTCAACTGTGTAATCATAGAGTCGAATCCGTATCAACCATCGTGCGATGGTCGGGTCCGTCAAACTAAAGTCCTTCTGGAGGACAGAGGCGACCGCTGTGGGATCTACTCTTAAGATGAAACACCGTCCGTAGATATAGTGTCTGAACGTGTTCAGACACCGCAAGACAGCTAACACTTCCTTCTTGAACTGACTGTAGTTACGCTCGGCCGTATTAAGTGTCCTACTCTCAAATCTTAACGGTTTTTCCTTCCCTTCTGCGTCCTTCTGAGACAGCAGCCCACCAACTGAACAAGGTCCAGCATCCGTGGATACTTTGAAGGGTCTCCCGGCCTCATCATCAAGGAACGGCACACCCTGTACGCGTCCTCCCTCCTTAAATTCATCTTTAAGCTCTTGCATAGCGAGTTCCTGGGAAGAATCCCAGTAAAATTTCTCAGTCTTCCGAAGGAGTACCCTCAATGGTTCAGCCTTCCCCGCATACCTTCGTATGAAAATCCGCCAATATCCGACCACTCCCAGAAATTGACGGACCTCTGTAGCACTATGCAACGGCGACGGCCAACTTAGGAGTTTGTCTAACTTTGTTGGATCTGCTCGGCGTCCTCTTGAGTCGCAGATAAAGCCTAAGATCTTAATAGTCGAGACGGCCCACCGGCTCTTCGTTCCACTGACCGTCAAATTTGCATCGTCCAGCTGCTCAAGTATCACGCAAATATCGGTTAGGTGCTGCTCGACCAATCTTCTAACCCATGGCACAACCTCTGTTTCATCTTTCTTTATTGGTCCTTTTATAGGAAAGTCGTTCAGAAAAACTTCAACCTTGTCAGGAATAAAGTCATTGAGGACGGCTACCATGGCCCTCTAAAAAACGGCTACCCCATTAGTCCAACCCATAGGGACGATCATCATCTGTATTAGTCCCAATGGCGTGTGCATAGCCGTGAGGTGTCTGTCTCTGGGATCAAGCGGCACCTCATCATAACCTGAGAACAGATCACAGACCGAATAAATCGACCTGCCCGTGGCGCCTTCAGCCAGCAAGTCGGCGTGAGGCACGGAGCCTACGTCTCGAATCGTTACCGCGTTGACCTTCTGAAGGTCCTGGATCCACCGGATCTTGCCATTCGGCTTTCGTATGAAGAACCATCGATTAGCATAAGCGCTATCAGATGACTCTGCAACATGAGAAGCCATCTTTTCTTTCAGGAAAGCGATAACCTCTTCCTTCTCCTTCTGGGCGTATTTCCATCCTACGTCATTCCATGGAACATGTGAAATCGTATAAATCCTTGTTGGCTTAGCGTACCGAGGGTCAACCCTCCCGCGCTCCGTGTCACTGAAAGCTATAGCCTTATCGCATGTCTTTAGGATTTCTATCACACGTTCCCACTCCTGTGGGATCAAGTTCCCATCTCCGATGTTCATCCCTGTTATCCTCTCTTCCGTTAGGCGTTGCGGTTCCTTTTTCTTTCTTTCTTTAATTTCCTTTGCGATTTCTTCTTCCGATATTCCTTCTAGTGCAGATCGCTCGCGGCCCACCGTCGTTGGCTTAACTTTCTGGGTTACTCCCTTGTGTCGCTTAGGTAGCCCCCCATAGGGGCCGTGCCCTTCAAAAAGACACAGATACCACGCCGCCAAACTTCTCATCTGCCTACTTTGGATACGAGTTGCCGTCCACTATCAGCCGACTCCCTAAATCTTCCACTTCTGCAATCCGGCCTTCTTCCTCTGTGAGCAGAGGTTCATACTTCTTCTCGCGAAATCGCACCGCGCGGCTGGAGATAGGCAATGACTTAACCCGATCACTGGGTCCCGCACCTACAGCGAGAGTTGCTCTGTTCCTCGGGTCTCGAGGCTCCACCATCTCTATCATAATCCGCGTCTAATCTAGCTTCTTAATGGACAGTGTTTGGCTCCCGTCCGGTCGCTCTATCGTCACCGCATGCACGTGGCTCAACCACGTCCGTCCCAAGAGCAGGTCAGAGATGCAGTTCTTGACTGCAAAGACTGGCAGAGTCACTCGTACCCCTTGGACTTTTATGGCTGCCTTGTGACAAACTCTTGTGATCTGTTGCTTTCTCCCATCAGCCGTCTCTATCTCGAATAAGTATGACCTATCGAGTCCCAGTCCAACTTGCTCTGCCAGATCCTCGTCTATAATGACAGCCTCACTGTCGTTATCGATCACAGCATCTAAAACCGCTCTGTCGTTTAGGATCGCCTCCACGGTCCCACTACCAAGTATGTAAAACTTGTCTGGAGGCACACCTTCCATCCCATCAAGAAGAACTGTCGCCATGCGATCTGCTCTAGCATTCACCTCCGATACTGCTACTGTAGGAGCATCCGGCTTAGGGGCCACCTGAGCGTCCTTTGTTAGAGGTATGCGAGTCTTTCACGTGATCATCTATAACTCGTCGCGAGCCGGCTTGGATGCTGCCAGATATTCCAGAATAGAGCATTGCATGGGCTGCTGAAGGGCCCGTCTCAGTGGCTCGACTGTGTCAATCTCATCCAACGAACTCTTCATCAAGAATTTCTTCACTCCCCGTTTTCGCGGTGAAAGAATAACCTCCTCTCCATCGATCCGCTGTCCATCCTTCTCCGCCATCACGTAATCCGTGTCAGTCTTCTTCGATGTAGACCCTCTCGCCGACTTGGTAGCTGTCACCCTTATGGGTGTGGTTGCCATATCTCCTTCGAAAGTTATCTTGATGCTCTGGCTCCTAACCGGCTCCTTTCCTTTACTCGGCTTTACTCTCCTTGCTTCAACATTCTCCTTCATCGAAGGGGACATCGATACGTCTCCCAGATCATCTGCCCACTTAACGTACTTGCGGTTATCAAGCACGACAAGTCCCTCATCTATTGCCCGTTTGAGATCCGGGCAGCCTCTCTTGATATGATCATCCCCTCTACAGTAGACGCAAAAGTTCCTGGGAGTGAGTGGTCTGTCGTCTGCGCTCCTGGAGGTCGAACCCCTCGCTGCTCTGGGGTCTGGGGACTTTGTATGCGGATTGGATGACACGCCATATCCCCCTCTCTCATTTCGGCCGCGCGAATCATTGCGGCGATCTCCTCCGGATCCTCCTTGCTCATATCGTCCCCGTGAGTCATTCCGGCGGTCCCCATGGCCGTATCGTCCGCGCGATTCATCACGTCGATCTCCTCGGTCGTACCACCCCCCTCGAATCGTTACGCTGCGCCCTCGTGAATCCCCCGCGGTTATACCGTCCGCGCGAGTCATCTCGTCGGTCTCCGTCTCGATCTCCTCTCTCATGCTTGCCACCCCTGTATCCATCTCGATCCGACCTCTCATATCTGTCGTCCCTATATCCATCTCGGTCCGATCTCTCATATCTGTCGTCCCTGTATCCGTCTCGCCGACCCTGATCTGACTCCCACCGGCCTCGAGAGTCACCTCTACCCCCATCAGCCTCATAGCGAGGGCTACGCGAGTAATCATCCAGTCTCCTAACTCGCCCATACGTCTCGCGAGCCCTGCGGTCCCGGTCTATATCATCATCCCTACGTCGCCATGGCTCATCGTCTCTCTCCCTTTCCCTCGCACGATAATCAGTCAGCGTTCTAGGATTTCTATCCTCGACACTCCTCCAGGAATCGGTGTTCTTCCGGTCCCAGCGAAGTGAATAGGGCCCTCCGGGTTTGTCCCGGTCAGTCGTGGCTCCTGTGGTGGTCACAATCTTTGTAACCTGTCTTGTCAATCCCTTTACCATGTCCCTTATCTCCTTCACTTCCTCAGCCACGGCTTCATTCTTTTCCGACCAGGGATAGTCCTTGAAATCAGGACATCTATCAGTGGCATACTCCTTATAGAGAAAGAAATCACGCCTTCTCATTCCTCTCCATACCAAGTCCTTGTAGTCGTCTGCCTCTGCCTTTATCGCGAGCTTTAGGACTTCAGGGAAGTCAAGCTTGTCGCACAGGAGATCTCTAAGTATATTCTTTTGTCTACCGTTGGACAGGTGTCCAATGAAGATCGTACAGTGCTCGACTTCTGAGATTTTCCCCTTCTTCATCAGTACGTCAGAGATCTTCTGAAAACGTTTTCCGAATGTCTGTACGCTCTCGTCCTCATCCGGATTCATAGTCTCAACTTCCTTGATGGAGTACTTGTTATCTTCTAATTTGTAAAGCTCAATGAGGTTCTTCTTATACGTAGTCCATTTTCCATCCTTCGGTCGGGCTTCCTTTACTTCTTTGCTGAGACTTGGATCCACATTAAATAGGAAGTTTTCTATGATCTCTTCCTCATACCACTGACTCCGGCTAGCATGAAGCTCCCACTTCTCCAGATATTCTGTGATACCATAGCCCCTGAAAGTAGGAGGCTCCGAGGCCTAGTGGTAATAATATAACGATCCTTGCTCTCATAAGGGAGCAGATGTGACTCCCCCGTCTGGGGGTCGAAGACACGTCGGGGCAGTGCTCTATCCCTGTCTCTATCTCTCCAATAGGAATCTTGCGGACTCTCTCTCCAGTCGTCCCTGCGCCTTTCCGCCCGGGTTTCTCTTCGTTCATACTCAGGGGAGCGTTGTGTCGTCGCTTCTCGTCGAGCGCTCGAGGTCCCAGTCTTCAGAGCCTCCTCCAGCTCTGTCACGACTGGCTCGCCCATTACGTCGGGCTCTCCGTCATTGGTTTGGTCAGCCAATCTCAGCGGTGCTCCCTGGCTAATTCGTTCCTTCAGATCCCTCAGTGCTCGGTCGGGCGATGTCTTGTACTCCTCTCCTGTTTCTGTCGTGGTCAGTTGTGGCCCCATTGTGTCTGATTCCATAGGCTACTAGAAGTTGTAGTTGGGTACAGCCCAGACCTATGACAGTTGCAGCAGCCCGGACCTGTGACAGAACTCTCAGCCCGGACCTATGACAGTTGCAGCAGCCCGGACCCGCTACCTTGTCACGATTAGCACTCGTCTCCAGTCCTAGCTCTCGACTGTTCTGATTACCGCCACCAGTACTCCGTTACGGTCGCAGACCTCGTGCTCTCCTTCTATCCCAAGAATCCCGGTGTCTATGTAAACCTCTCCCTCGGGATCTGCCAACAAGGTCGCGCCTCTCCTAATCTGCACTACACCCGTGATAGGATCTCTACTCCTGCTGCAGATCGCAGCCCCAAGCCTAACCAATGCCTCCCGACTAGCACCCCTCAAAATTCATCGAACGTCTATCTCCGTCCTCCTTGCTAGATCATCTAGTCCGTTCTGAATCGGGTAGCCCTCAAAAGGAGGAAACTGTCATCCTACTGCCATCTAAAGCCGCCCCTCTAACCTTACTGACCTCTACTATCTTTCCAAGAGCTTTCAATTTGTATTTCTCCTACTTTAACTCCCAGACAGCTATAAGGTAATTTGTCTAGTATCTGAGGGAAGTCAGTGTTATAGCCGCTCGTAATCTCATCGTCGACAACTCCAATATATCATAGAACGTCTCAAAATCTTCCTCATCTTCACTATCCTCTATGGCCTCTAAAGTCTTTATCGATTCCCTAAAGTATCGGTCGTGAGCAGCTAGCACCCTCAGTATCGCTCCATCTACTATAACTCTCCCTAGCTCTCCAACTCTCCAGGCTTCACTTATCTTCAACCTCTCATCCTCTCTGGTCGTCTCGTACCATGCCCTTATCTGAGACCGCCCTTCAAAAGGTGTTACTCGAAGTGCGTATTTTATCCTTCGTCCTCCTTCCAGTCTAATCCGAAGTCCTGTTCCCCTAGCCTCACGTAGCGCACGACGAACATACTCTGTCTCCTCAACTACACACAACCTGGTATGGAGCTGGAGCTTTGCGATCACTAACACCAATGGTCCGTCCAGTCTCCCTACCACATGCAACGAGTACCTGTCCGTCGTGTGTAGGGCCGTCCCGCTCATGTCCTGTTGCTATCTCCCTGCGTTACCTTATCCTCCGTTGTCACGTCCTCTGCAGACTTCTCCCTAGCTCCTTCGCGCGATAGGTTCTTAGCCTTTACCCTCACCAAAAAGTCTGATCTCCACGCCTGGATAATCTCTCTATCCTCCCTGAACAAACTCTCTAACTCTTTCGTCACGAGGTCAACCCTACGCGGCTTGCCCTCATCCTGGCACGTCCCGTTCTCCCTTATCTTGTTCCCCAACTCCTTTGCCTGGTTCAAGAGTGGTTCTTTAATGTGTTTTCTCACTCTTCCGACCGCCTCATCTCCATCTTCCATACTCTGTCCACATCTTTCACCAGCTCATCCTCATACCCTCGCTCTAGCCTCTGCTACCGTCTCATCGTGGTAGTGCTCCACGCGCATATAACCATGAAACCATACCATCAAATCAGAGAAAATCGAGGTATGGAAGGTCACCTGTGCCAGTACATCAGCTCTATGCTCGCGAATCAGATCTCTGGCTCGCAGTCGGCACTCCCTCACCGTCAAGTCCTCATCTATGTATGCTCGGAGAAGTACCGTCACAGTGTACCCTGTGCTTACCAGTTGCTTATCTAAACGCATCACAGTTGCCGTTCTCCCTGGCATTCCCTAAGCTGCAACCTCGAAGAGAAATCTCACATCCTCCAGCCCCACATAATCAATCTCTGCTCGTCTCCTGCAGTACCTAATCAGATCGACTGGCCTCAAACAGTCCACTCAGCAAGTAACTTTTATGATGTCGTCAAGCGTCTCTCTGCTGGGTGGCCCCCACCTTACACAAATGGCGTAGTATGCTTCCTTGAAACGGGGAGCTAAGCCCTCCCAAAGCGCGTAAAGTGCGTGATCCACTGCTATACTCAGACGGTCTACGCTCTCATAGGTCTACCCTATTACGAACGCAGGAAGTCCAAATCGCCAACCCTCTCTCGGGTAGAGGGTTGGATGCGGAGATCCGTATACCAAGCGACTCCAGTACGACCTTCCTCCATAGAGTCTCGCCAGTTGCTGATTAACGATCACTCTCGCCAACAACTCGTTTCGCCACCAAGCTTTGCTAGCCCCTGCGAGTGTCAGACCTACGTCTAAATCATGAGCTCTGCCCGCTATCAGGTGTCCCACCCCTTCTAGGTCATGAGTCATTCCGGGTCGTCTATCTTTCAGTATCACCGTCCAAAGGAAAAGTCCCTCTGCCAGCCACATCCCAAGGTAACGTATCGGAACACAGCCAATCTCCTCTAACCCCACAGGAAAAGGAATATCATATCCAACAACCGTCTCTCTGGGTCTTACAAGTTTCCTCACGCTATAGGATTCGGACTCTCGTGAGATAACATAAGCTAGTCAAGCCGCCGAGTCACTCCTCATCTCCACTTCTTCTCTCGATCTGTGTCACCCTACTCCCTTCGACGCTCCCTATCTCACGATGTTGCTAACTCCTCACACAACTCTCCCACTCAGGTCCAGTATGGTCGAGTAGGTGTTGAGCACTCTCCCGTCAGCTCCATGGAAGTAGATAGTAAACTCGACGTATCTCTGGCCTCTCCGTATCTCCAGGGCATGCTCCGTCATGAGTCTGATCTGTCGCTCAACATTGTCCAACGCTTCTTCTTCCAAGCCGCCCGTCCTATCTCGTCGTAAGGAAAGAGTCACTCTCAGTGTATCCCTGTCTGTCATCCCTTCCTGCTCTTACTGCCAGTCTCGTCTTGCCTAAAGTTTCTCCCTTTTCCTACTAACCGATCTCCTACTCCCTTCTCTAAGCTACGCCCGGATATGCCCTGCCACTAATCGTCTTGCGCATCTGGCATATCCTCATCTCCATCCTCATCTACCCCCTGACCCCATGGGGTATCCTCCTGTCCCTCGGCCTGAAGGAGATGTCCCCAGCCGTCCTCCTGCGGGCCATCTATATCGGCGCCAATCTCGCCCTGCCCTACGTCAGGCACGTCTCTCCACAATCTCTTGTCCTGTCCCCACGGCTCTGCGTTGCTGAGGCATTCCCAGTCTCGATCGTCTCCGTCCCAGCCGAGCTCCTCTCTATCTGGATATATCCTCTGGTAATGCTCCTCCAACTCCCAGATAGAGATGAGGGAAGCAGGCCTATCACCGGGAGTCTTGCTAAAGAGTCGTCCGACCCCCTCCAAACTATCCACTGGTCTCTGGACCTCCCTATCTAGTGCCAGCCAGAACTCCAAGGGCTGGCCCGGGAAGGAAGAGTGGGGGTCTGTTGTTGGCGCTAGAGCACGTAAGAACTCTATGAGTTGTATCCCCCTCTCTCCAGTAAGAGGCCCGCCTACGAACTGTGCATAGGCAATCCAGTCCCGGTTCGTCTGCCCTCTAGTTAGTCCGTCGAGCTCTAGAGCCGAGAAATATCTCTCCACGACACGCCCCAAGCCCCAAAGCTGCTCCACCACAAAGACCGGGAACTTGGCGCGTAGTCGGACTGTCGGGAAGGCAAACCCTCATATCCGAAACGTAATCCTCGTCTCCCTGATAGGCCCATACAGATCCTCAATCCCCTCTCGTGCACTCTCTATCACGCATGTCAGGATCTCTCTCACCTCTCTCTCATACCGCCAGAACCCATGCACCAAGCCCTGGATATAGACGACGCCGCTCACCTCAAGTGAGTAATAAATATGTCCTACGGCCTTTGTGGACACCGTGCCAGGCGCCCGCCACCTCTGCGGGTCTGACTCGTAAGTCTGAACGGTATATGACCATAGGTGCGCGTCTGGCCCCGGCCGACTCGACCCCCATTGGTCAATCAGCCCTGGCTCATCGACGCATCTGGCCGGTACATCAAGCTCCACCAAGTCAGGAGATGTGATCTCGGGTGGTCTACGCCATGTGAAATCACCAAAGGGTAGGTCGACTCTCTCGATCCCCTCTACCATCTGCCTGCACGATCTCCTATCTCACTCTCTCACCCTACTGCCGAATAGCCTAGCTCACACTCGCCTCGTGGCACAATCTGCCTAGGCCCTAATCGGTACTCCTATACGCGGGAAGTGCGCGTCTGCCGTGTCGTCCTCCTGCTCGTCAACCTCACTCTCTGGGTCAACCCAATCCGGCTCCCACGCGTCCTCGTCGTCCTCTCGCTCCCACCCCTCGTCGTCGAAGTCGTCCTCGACGCGATATGGCGGGAGCCCGATCGCCTGATAATAACGCCTCAACTGATACTCAAGTATCAGGGGTCCGTCAGGTGCGTCACTCCACAGACTCTCCCAGTCCTCCCAAAAAAGTCTGCCTATGCAGGTGACGTACTCCGGTCCTATCCTAAGTGCCCTATCCAGCCACTCCCAGACGTACGAGGGCGGCGGCACCCCTCTCTGAATATCGTCCCCTAACGAACGGATCAGCTCTATCAGCTGGACCCTCTCGTCTCCCCAACGAAGACCTCCTGTCGCGAGGGAGTAATGCAAGTACTGCTCATCTAGACAGCTCCTAACAAACGTTTGTAGCTCTCTATAGGCGAAGTGTGTCTCTACTATACCCCCTACGCCTCCGAAGAGCGAGTCTACGACAAAAGAGGGGAGAATAGCTCTCAAGGCGCTCGTCGGCAACACTTTGTCGAGCGCCTTGAGAGTTGTCCTCCCCTCTTTTGTCGTAGACTCGCTCTTCGGAGGCGTAGGGGGTATAGTAAAGACATACTTGGCCTATAGAGAGCTACAGACGTTTGTTAGGAGCAGTCTAGACGAGCACTACTTGCATTACTCGCTCGCAACAGGAGGTCTTCGTTAGGGAGACGAGAGGGTCCAGCTGATAGAGTTGATCCGTTCGTTAGGGGACGATATCCAGAGAAGGGTGCCGCCGCCCTCGTATGTCTGGGAGTGGCTGGATAGGGCACTTAGGACAGGACCGGAGTACGTCACCTACATAGGCAGGCTTTTTTGGGAGGACTGGGAGAGTCTGTGGAGTGACGCACCTGACGGACCCCTGATACGTGAGTATAAGTTGAGGCGTTATTATCGGGCGATCGGGCTCCAGCCATACCACGTCGAGGACGACTTCGACGACGAGGGGTGGGAGCGTGAGGACGACGAGGACGTCTGGGAGCCTGACTGGGTCGACTCTGACTCGGAGGAGGAAATCGACGTCACCGACGCCCACTTCCCCAAGATAGGAGTCGCCGTCTGGACCTAGTAGGCGGGGTACGGGCGAGACGCACTAGGAGCGGAGACTGCGAGGGAGCAGTGATTAGCGACAGCCAGTGCTTATAGGTGGTTCGATGGTAGAACAACTCGTATAGTGGAGCTCGCTATCGGCAGTGCCAGATGGCCTAGGCCTCCAGAGGTAGTGGAGGCCGACATGCTGGAGTTTGATTTGCCGGCTAGGAGNGCGTCACTCCACAGACTCTCCCAGTCCTCCCAAAAAAGTCTGCCTATGCAGGTGACGTACTCCGGTCCTATCCTAAGTGCCCTATCCAGCCACTCCCAGACGTACGAGGGCGGCGGCACCCCTCTCTGAATATCGTCCCCTAACGAACGGATCAGCTCTATCAGCTGGACCCTCTCGTCTCCCCAACGAAGACCTCCTGTCGCGAGGGAGTAATACAAGTAGTGCTCGTCTAGACTGTTCCTAACAAATGTTTGTAGCTCTCTATAGACCAAGTATGTCTCCACTATACCCCCTACGCCTCCGAAGAGCGAGTCTACGACAAAAGACGGGAGGATAGCCCTCAAGGCGCTCGACGAATAGGGGAAAAAGTCGTCCCATGCTATCAGCAGATCGCCCGTGATATCCAGAGGAGGTCGGTCGTGAAACAAGGTTAACGGATCCTGTGCGTCGTCCGCACGAAACCCGTCGACCTCCTGCTGCAAAAAATTCTGAGCCCGGTCGATAATCGAGTTGGTCCCCCTAATCGCTAAGCTCAAAGCAGCCCCCTTGGCTGCCTCCTCCTCTAAATAAAGATAAGTCAGTACTACTCCTCGCGTCTGACCCCCGTACTCCTCCGTCTCATGCTGTCTGTATATCCACAGCCAAGCATCCGAGGTCAAGAACACAGACCTCCACTGAAAATCTCCATCGAGGCACTCAGTAGGCCGCCCGGGAAGGGTGAGCTCTACCTGGTCGCCCTCTATAAGCTCCGGAGCCTCTATCTCCCACGCGCGGCTGACCTTGTAGATCTCGATCGGGGTTGGGGCCCACATCAGACTGATGCCTAGCTAAGAGGTGGTAAGAAAATCAGGAAGTGATAGTAAGAGAGAGAAGAAGTTACTGACGATTCTAGGAAAAATTCGGCAGCGCTTCGCCTCCCTTCGTTGGGAGCCCCGATATTACGCTGTCGATCTATCTCCTATCTATCCCAAGAGTCCCTATGGTGCCAACGGGCGGAAT